CTCTCCTCAGCTCCCTCCAGCATCTCGTACTGCCAGACACAGGAGGTCGAGAACAGAGGAGTCCCAGACGGGTCCAAGCCATGGGATACAGGCTGAATGCAAGTCATACAAAACACCAGAGGAGTTATTCTTCCCTAAAGTAAAGCTCATCACAGAGTTTAACATTGGATCACACTGGCAGAGCATCTTTAAGGTCTTTGTCTGGCTGCATTTAAGTCTTTAAATAACAAGCATCCCTTAAGCACAAAAAGCAACCATAACAAGCCTTGCCACCAGAGCCAAGCAATGCCTTGTAGACTTCTGAATATCTGGAAGCAAGGGCTGTCATACATAAAGGCCGACCACTGATTAAAGACCACTACATCCTGGGAAGCTGAGACCTCAGAGATCCCAATGCTAGAAGCATCTCTCTGGAAGAAGCATAAGACTCTCCAAGTCTTTTAAACTATGTGCTTGCATTTCTGTGGGGTACAATAGGAGGACTTGTGTACAAAAACAGATTCTAAATTTATGGAGGAGAAAAAAAAAAATCTACAAAAAAAAAAAAAAATCAAATCACCAAACAAGATCACAAATAAATTAGAGCAGGTTCTGGGCAACCTGTAGCTTTCTAAAGGCAAACAGAATGGAGACGTATGTCCAAAAACGACCAAAACCGGAGGACCAGATAGAAGGAAAAAGGAACCAGCTTCACTACTGGGCTAACCACCCCCCAGTGCTTGGTTTTCTGCAAAAATTCTCTCAGGCACAGAGCAGTTTGCATGCTGCTAAGGTCATGGGAATGTGTGGCAAGATGAACAAGCTGCCACGTGCCAAATGCATCATGATGTTGATAAAGGTGCATATAATAGAGCTACTAGGGGGGAAAAAAAACCCACCCACATGTGCAGCTGTCACTGTCATTAAGTAACCATTTTATTCATGTTATATGACTCTTATGCAATGTATATGACTATGGAAAAAACTGTGCCCTTATCTCCGCCAACACACTGAATACACACCGACTTCACTGCTTATCTGAGGGCAGTATTTGCCCCACAAGAAAACACTGATCCTGACCACTGTTTCACATATCCAATTTCCACAACGTCCCTCAGTTTGGTTTTCAATTTAGCTTCATTTACGCTGTCCTTTGAGAAACTCAGCAGTGTTCTCATGAACTAAAAGAAATCATCCCTCTATGATACCAAATACATTAGAGCAGGACTAACTGATGGCAAAGCAAAACCATAATCCAGTAGGAAGCAGCAATTAAGCACGTATTTTCTATGCACATTTCACAAAAAAAAAATCCCTGCATTTTTTTTCCAAGGCAGCCAACTGCAACCTTCAATAGGATTATCAGTTTCAATTTTGTTGGAAGAGGGTTTATTTCATTACACTACCATATATTTGGGAAGTTCACTATGTACATATGATTCTCTATCCCAGCTTCAAGCATATCCAGCTTCTTCAAATTAAAGATCAAAATTAATGCTTTCCAAAACTAATACATCACTAGCTCAGATTAAAAAGAGTATATGTGCACTACACGAACATCTTCTTTGGTCCCCAAAATAAGGAAGCTCCACATTTTTCTATTTACCAATGTATTTAAGACCTGTCTCTCGTTAGTTTTCTGCTGAAACTCGACTCCAATGACTGTTTCAACTACGTAAAAAATGTAAGTAATAAACAATGGGATACTATGCACAACATATCAAACCCATTGTATTTCAAGTGTAACCATTTCAGGTCATACTATATGTTACTGTATGATCCCGTATCATACCATGTTAGAGGTATCAGTGTATTGCTCATGTTTAGTCAGGCATCTGCAGCCCCCATGCACACTAACAAGAACTCTTTGTGAATCAACTGGCAAAGTACTATCAACTTCCCCCTACTTCCCCACATAACTGAAGACACAAGTTAAAAGATATCAAGAGCTCATAAAATTGCAGATGCTCAGCACAAGATTATTCAGTAACCAGAACATTAATTAAGGTCAACAACAAACCATAGGGAAAACTAGGGGACTACAGGACATCCCATGTTTTATTCCTTTTTCTAAACAACATATGGAATAAACTCCTGCTACATTAACAAGCCTTACTACTGTGCCACACCGGGTGCAAACTGATATAACAGCTGTAGCATTTCCAAGTGAAACGCACTTGAAAATGCTTCATTGGTAAAGCTTCAGAACTGAAAAATTACAGCCAGGGGACATGCTTACATCCCCTGTACCATTCCTGGCTGAAATGTTCCAAACTCCTGCAGCCTTGTCTAGCACTGGCCTGAGGATGCTAGAGCAGGCTGTAGTGACCTTCGGCTCGTCTCAGCTTCTCCTCCCTTCATAGGGAAAATAGATGGAGGAGAGGGAAGGGTGGAAGGGGCTGGGCCCACTGTCAACACTGCCGCAGCAGTCGGTGGGGAAGTAGGGGTAAGCCCAGCTCCAGTCTAGCTCCTGTGTGCTGTCCCTGGGCATATGTAATGAAGTGAAACACTACAAAATAGTACTTCATATGAAGAGGTGCCTAGAGCGTTTCAGTTACTTTTGGAACATTTCAATTGTTATGGCTCTTAGCACCCAGTTTATCCGTCTGCTCCATGACTTCAGTTGAAACGTCATGCTACAAGTATAAATGTGGAGCAGACAATATCTTCCAGGTGTCTCTTCTTGGAGCTTTCAGTAAGATTTCTACATTCTCTTTTTTATACAGCCTAGATGTCACCGTGTTTAATTTTTAACATGTTTTGATGAATACTCATTTTCATTTAACAATTAACAGCATCTATAAACTCCCTCACATCCCTCCAACGTTCGGTACAGTGTGCGGAAATACAGAGCACCAATAGGCATGATAAACTCCATCATTCAGTAGATCAAACTACAGGTTTCATATGATGTCCAAAAGTCCTGGTGAAGAGCAACTTTACATTAATAAGCCATCTGTGTTGTTAGCTAATTTGTAGGTTCAAGTGAACTTCAACAGTTAGGTGTTCAGACTCTAAACTCAGCCCTGCCTTCAACTAGAGCATTCACTGAAATGTAACATAACATTAAAATGTTAGGAGAGATCAATTACTAAGTTAAAAACAAGGTTTTTAAAATGTTCTTTTAATTTAATCACTAACCTTAATCTTGAAACTATCTAAGTTTGCTTCTGACCATTAACGTAGCTTGGACTGGAAACAACATACATGTACATGCTGGATGATAAAAACAGATGAGTCAGTTCCACTTTCTGGCTTTCATGCACTAGTACAATGCTGCATTGCCTAAGATGTGAACAGTGAAGCATAGTGTTTAAATCCTGAGCTCTCTATCTTCTTTGGAAGTTAACCAGAAAAAAAATCACAAACATATTTCTAATGATTGTAGGGTTGGTAAAAGTGTTTTGCAAAGTTCACATGTACCTGAAAGTAACTGGACAGTACCTCTGAATTTTACTACCCTTCACACTTAGCATTCCAAGTATTTACTGGTACAAGTATGTATAAGTATGCTGGGAATAGCTACATGCAAATACAATGCTTAAAGTCAACTCAGATCAGGTGCAAGCAAGCAGAACTCCACTGATTTCAAAGATCCCCCAATTTCCATTAGGTTGGAACTTGACTAGTGATTTTTTATTTCCTTCACCTACAACAAACAGGAAACTTGCTGAAATGTGCACTTACTCATGTGCCAACCATGATGCACATGACAAACAGACATAACAACATAGACAACATTAAATATTGGGAAGTCTTCCAATTACAATTAACAGATTCTACTTGTATTATTGCAGAATAGTCTCCAATTAGAAAACATGAATTCTTCTCCTCCTCACTGAAACTGGAATGTAAATAAGAAAACTTAAAACTAGGGAGAAGGGCTTATAAATATAAACAGTGAAAAACAAGAGAGTCCATCATACTGTCTTCCTTACAACCTAATCTTCAAAGGAGCATTATAAAAACATTTGTAGATAATACTCAAATTGGACAAATCAACTTGCATTAGTTACTACCAACCAGTTTAAACATAAAACAAAAGTCACATGACAAGCCCAAACCAGAATATGCCATGAAATGTATTAATCATACACAAAATGCAGTATTGCAGTCTTGGAAACATGGATTTTTCTGGCTCCTAACATTTCCAGAAAGCTGAACCTAGGAATTAGGAACAACTGTCACTGTGGTGTAGATGATTATTTGATAATTATTCCAAAAAGGATTTTGTTATTGAAAGTTATGCAAAATATTCAAAACCACTCACAGATACCTACATACTTGTGCTGCCTAGGTTGTGCTGACCACAGAGCAGGCATATGTACTCATTTTGCACATGTAGAAGCCCAAGTTCTAATACGGCCAAGGTCATAAAAGAAACTTATTTGGTAGCTTCGGCACTGTCAATAGTGTAGGTCTGTCTGCATCATCATATCCACCAGCCCAAATATCCAACATGGTTGTCTGTCTCAGCGATACAAATGTACCAAGAAAGAAACTGTGGAAGTGAGAATTGAATTGAATTGGCAAAGCTGCACAAGGAAGTGTACAGCATTAGTGTACATGGTCTCTAGCTAATGTTATTGCTATCTGTCCCTCACTTTCTATTCATGTGCAATGCACTGAATTTTCAAGGAGGCTTTGTTTTTCTTCTCTTTTTTAGGAAAACAATGTTGGTTACAACATTCCTGCTGGATGAAGAGATAGTGGTAGAATACGATGAGTCTCTACAGCCTGAAACTGGACAAAGTACCCTGCAGGTGTTTAATCAAAATACTAACACACTTCAGACACCTATGTGGACTTTTCACACAGATCTTGCTTTTTGTGTGGCCAGTACTTATAGCCTTCATGTGAATGGCTTTTGAACAAAATGTAGATCAACGTATTTCTCTATACACACAGCCAGGTATTTTCTGCCAAGACAGGCTCTCCCTTCTCTTCCTAAAAATATGGAAAACTGAAAACTACATGAACTTTACTTGATGAGAGAAAATAAAACGTTTGTTTTCCCTCCTCACAGTCCTCTCCCAGATGTAGCTTTCATGCATCATCCAAACGCTGAATCTCAGGATGCTGATCCACTTCTCTCGATTCTGTCCGGGCCCGCAAGTAATTGCTGGTCTGCCGGCTGTTCTGCTGCCTGCCGTTCATTCGCCATTTCTTAACAGCTAAATACAGATTCACAGCATACACTGCCATTGCCAAGAAACCAAATATCTAAAAGGAACAGCAGCAAAATTTGTCAAAGGCAAACTTCAAAATCAAGTTTTCCAATAAAACCTTGCAAAGCTTTAGTACTTCAAAGGTTTGTAACCTTCTGCACTTTTTGTTGCACTGACACACTCTTGGGGCCTCCAGATGTCATCTTTTAAATAAATTCTAACACTTGTGAAAAGCACTAGAATTGATGATCCTAGAGCTAGAACTTGCCATAAATCCCTGGAGGCACGTTATACTTAATAGCAAGGAGGGCAGGGCTAACTGCCCTGGACTCCTGATCACAGGACATAATGAGTTAGCATGCCCATTCTCTCAATTTCCTCCATACAGGTTTCTTTAGAGCTATTGCAGTACTTTCACCATTGTTATAACCACCCATATAAAAAGCTTAAATTTACCAGGTCAAGCACAGAAGCAGTTACCATATCCTTGCAATCCTGAAGGAAATTCAAGAATGCCCATACTCCCCCATAAAGAATTTAGCACGGAAGTTGTAACAACTTTAAAGCAGGTTCGATTTCATGTGCACTGGGATAAGTTTGTGCGCTACAGTGCAGTCTGCAGTATAGATCCCCAAGCTAGCACAGGAATTAGAAGTAGTCTAACCACAGCAGCATAGTCAACTGGCCCATGTGGAGCTCTGTGCTGCTGAGGCTGGACTGCCTGTCATATTAAACTAGCCTGGATATCCTTATGCTACACTTCAAGCTGCAGTGTAGATATACCCTGAATGCTGAACACTTAAAAGTACAACTTAATGTTGCATTTATGACTAATTAAACTGGCAAACTTCCAGAACACCTGCCTAAAATACTTCATGCCTTTGGCTCTTGCCATCAAAAAAGTAACATTTTTGACCATTCAATTTCACCCAGGCTCGAGGTCAAACAAGTTCTTGAAATCAAAACACTGACTGGCCAACATGTAAAAGAGAAATAAGATCCTGAGTCTACAGCAAGGGTGGGCCAAACAGGGCCCGCCAGGCCGTTATATCCAGCCCACAGAGCCCCTAAGTTTTAAAAAAAACAATATTTGTCTGCCCCTGGCTGCCTGTCATGTGGCCCTCGATGCCTTGCCAAAACTCATTAAGCAGCCCTCCACCCAAAATAATTGCCCGCCCCTGGTCTAGAAAGAAGAGCGAGTGACAGAGACTAATATAGCCAGTGGGTGGGGAGAGTCACTCTTTAGTTCTGATGAGAAGTAACCATCAAGAGTAAAGAAATTTAAATTATTTTCTTACCACAGCAGCGATCTCTGCTCCAGTTTTATGGTTTAAAGCAGCGAGTACAACAGATGCAATGAAAAAGAAGAAAGTGCTGAGTCCAGTGTTGACCAGATCCTGTGAAAACAAGGTTACCAGAAATTAACACGCAATCATTTTTTAACCTGAATTGATAAAGTATCAGAACAGAACCTTCAAAGCCATCTGACTTATGACGTTTATCTTTTATGCAACAGGTGGCAATGACTTGCACACGCGGCATGACAGACACAAATTAACATTAACTTAGGCTCATAGTAAATCATTGTGGTGGATTCCAGATGTTGCACCAGTTTCTAACTAGTAATGAGAAGCACAAAATAAGTACAACTACAAAAAGTGTATCAAACTGTCTTAGAAGAGTTGAGGTTAAAAGAAAGCTGCTGCATTCCAACTAATTAACCATAATACTAATCTCATACTCCCTCAAACTATTGTTTTTTTCAAGCCACAGCAATTTTTCATACACTATCTAGAAAATATTCACAAATATTTAGATTGCACACTCTCTAGTACCAGTCTCTACTGGTCTATGAAGTACTACACACCCTACGGCACTGTAAGAATAATAGGTGTCTGTATTGTACACACACATACGTATGTGTGTTTGTAGTTTTATATTACATATAATTAGAAGGTGAGGTTGAGAAAGCACACACAAACAAGTAGGAAAAATACCACACTTATTTACATGTCCCAAAAAACATATACTCAGATGTCTAGATTTAGTAGAAATTCAGATTTCAATATAGAAACACTTTCACCAATACATGCAATTCAATTAATGAGCCTACATGTTAGTTTGGGATCCAATCATTAATCTTTCTTTTTTAAAAATATGCTGACATCAGACCTAGCCAGATGTTTAAAAAAAATAAAATTTAAAAAAGAGAGTCAATGGCCTGTGATACACACCACATACTAGTTTATTCAAGAATCCCCATTAAACTTGATAAACTTGATTTTCTGTGTCAAACAATGCAGCGTAGAGCAGACAAAGAGACTGGCCTGTCTTCAACAAGCCCATCCTGGGAAAGGTAGTTGCAGTCAGACATTGTGTAAAGCACTGCTTCTCAAACAGAGAACTGTTCGAGGGTGCTGCAGAGCTGGTACCACTGTCACTGCCAGGTGGAACTGTCCAGTACCCCTTTGTTTCCAGGAGGGGTAAGCCAGGAGAACCAAGACAGCTGCAGCAGATGCCCCTTGGCCACAGCCCTTCCCAGCCTGCCTGCCATAGTTCCAGCCCCTCCTGGAACCACAGGCAAGGGGAACAGTTCTGCCTGGCTACAGCCAAAGTGGAGACAGGGGGAGCGGGTCAGGGATGACAACAGGGGTCTGTGCCCTGGACTCACTAGGATGGGCTGTTCTCTTGCAGGATCCCCCTTACAACCTGGCTCCTTCACCCCTCTGCTGTGGCAACAGCTACTGTGTTAATCCTTTCACAGCCATGATCTACATGCAGATCACCAGCGCCTGCAAGAGGTTAATGAAGAGGGTGAGGCGAGCTAACATGGGGATTCTGCCCAGGAACCTAACAGCGAGCCTGCAACCCCTGGGTGAGCCCACAGTAGCACAAAAGACTGCCTGCCCCTGACCCCTGCCCCCGTCCCCCCAACTCTTTTGCTCTCAGCACACCTCCCTCCCCACCTGCACTAGTTATGATACAGAAGAGTTGTTCTCATCTTGGGTGCTGTGAAATTCAGAAGCAGCATGGAGTGTGCTTTGGGACTGCAACGGTTGAGAACCACTGGTCTGAAACAAGTACTGGTATCTTCTGTTTTTCAGAAGTTGTCAGGCTTTTCTTACCAATATGGGACCAATTCACATTTAAAGTAGTAAAACAATATTAATTCCAGCCTGCTATTCTTATTTCGGAGTTCTCATTCTCCTTGTTACCAAAATCTATTGCTATAATTAAGCCTTGTGTGATATTTAAACTTTATTGTTTTCTTAAAAACTTTCCAACTGCTCATGTTTTAGAATAAAAACTCCTGTTAATGTAGAAAATGGATTTGTGTAGGGGAATAGAGGAGCAAAACTGGATTGCTGATGTTGGGGTACATGCTGGTAATGTTGCTAACTTCAGTAAAAGGGCAGGGCTTTATAATCCAGTATTTCATCACAATCAAAACAACAGCAAAGCCAGACCAATACACGAGGAAAATATGGCACTCTCTAACTTTGACATGATACAACTGCTTTGAAGAATCTAGATCCCGGATAAGAATGAGAATTCAAAAGATATTCCCGGAAAGTATTTATGTATTTACTTTTTAGTAATATGACAAACCCAGTGACCGTGACAATAAAAGAGAATAAAGCTAATCAGAAAAAGATGAGCAGTTTCAAATCTGGCCATGATGTGGCTGAAAGTTTTTACTGATATATTTATAGACAAAGTAAAGCCACATCACACAGATAAAAGAATTTCAGCTGAAATTACAGCAGCCTCATGAGACAGTCTGCTGTGCCATAAAACTCTATACAAAGCTTCCATCCGTAACACAGAGTAAAGTCTAGGGTACGGATCACATCTGCTCTAGATTGCAATTTACTGGCACTTCCTAATTATTCATATAATTTATTCCATCATTCCCTAATCAATTTAGCTTCATGAATCAAAAGTACAACTAAACTGTGACAGAGTTACACACTCAATGTGACAAAACAGAAAGGCCAGAGTGCTATATTTTTAAAACCTTTTTTCTTCACTTTTCAAACCCTCTTTGCACTACATACTTCCCACTGTCGCATTTTGGTATCCATTTGAGGGGCAAATATTAGTAGCTAGGTGGACCATTACTTGAGGAGGGTGGATAGAGGTGGACTCATTTTTTAGCTAAATTTCAACAAGGCTGGCTAGCAGGGGAATAAAAGAAAGAATAACCTCTAAAGTAATGACCTGTATTACTCTAGTGACTAAAAAGACTTTCCCTAGGACCCCATTTGCAGTAGGTGTTTTCTAAAACACAAAACAAAGATGGTTCTTGCCTACAAAGAGCTTACAATCTAAGCGTAAGATAACAGATGTATACAGACAAAAGGGGGACGTACTAGGGGACAATGGTGAGCATGACCAGCAATCAAATGTTTGCCACTCTTTTGGAGGCCATACAGGAAAAGTCAAATCCTGTCCTATGTAGCACTAGTTCTGTACAAGCAGTAGATCATAACTATACTGGATGCACCAAAATGTCTTACTTTCTGCCACATTAAGCACAGATCTAGGGGGTTCTTAAAAGGACACTGATGGAGGGCTACTTAATGGGCGGGACAACATGCTGAATCTGTAACAAAAACATTTTTATATCCAATAGATATACACACAATGTGCTTTACCCATACAAAGTTATAAGAAGGAGAAACAACTTCATTACTCAGTTCAAGCTTGAGTGGGAATTATGCAGCTGACCTTTTGCTGATAAAACATGTCAAGCCAGCTCACAAAACAGAGCACCTCCCAAAATATTTGGCACATTATTATCCATTCAGGATGGAGCTATGCTCCTTGCCAGTTTACTAAGCCCATTACACAGGGCATCAATTATTCTTAATGATGAATCACAGAGTTTGCAGTCAGTTGCTACTCAATATCCAATGTCCACAACCTTGCTAATCAGCTAGTTCTGTCAAGGATGGCCACCTTTAAAAGAAAAAAAAATCTGTCAGCTCCAAATGACCCCAGGGTGCACTTGGGGGCCTCCACTAAAATCATCATTCAGTCTTTAATCTTTCCATGGGCAAACATTAAGACTGTAGGTTTTTACTTTAACTATATTTGTGTGTCTTTTTCTCACTTCTTGAAGCTGGACTGGATAACAAGCAGGAGAGAAGGGCAATGCAAATAGCACCTAGAGAGCTAGCAGCAGCGAGTCATCCCAAAGTCCTCCACCTTTAGGTGTCAAGCATGGACAGGGGAAAAGGGCCTACAACCTAACTAGAGAGAGAATACTGGACGGAGGCTGTGATTTTGCAGAGATCAGTTGCTACTGATAATCAGAAAGTCATTTCTAAACAGCTGCAAAGGGAAAGAAATATGAAGGAGCCTTTCCAGTAAGCCTCCCAAGTCTGCTGAAATTGGCTCTAGCAACCAGCAGTGGCAATGACAGCCACATGTCTTGCCTACTCCTCTCCAAGGCTTCAGGAGTATAATTTTCCAGGAGAAAGTCAGTTGGGTCAAGATAAAGTGACAGAAGTCTGGACAGAAAGAGCACAAGCTGTCAGGTGGTATGTAAAAGAAAGTAGGGCCTTTTACTAGAGGTGGATCAGCCCCAATATAAAGAAAATTGACTATATTGGAAATTGGCCTGAAGTGGCCGATAATTTGGCTGATAAATGCCTGTGTGTGCGCACAGCCGCAGTGCAGCACACAGGCAACGAGGAGCACAGCCTGGCAGCTTGGAGAGCTGCCTGCAGGTGCTAAGTCTGTTGTTGTGGAAGAAGAGAGGGGAGGGAAGGGGCATAGATCAATACCCCCCCCATGGTGAAGGAGGGAGTGGGGCTGGGGTAGGGGCTGCCCAGCTGGGGTGGGGCACCAGCTG